CACAAGGTTGACTCAGCCTTTCATCCCTTCAGTGGGTCGATAAATGAGTACCAAGCATGCTTGGGAACTAAACACTGGGGGTTCCGCGTTCGGCTGACCACCTGACCGGAACATCTGCTCCCACACACCAGAGCCCAAGATCAAGAAAACTGAGATGGGCACAGTAGGCCTTGGCCCTCTATGGGCTGTCGCGCCACTGAGTTTAGTTTTTATAAATTAAAATTATATTTTTTTCAAAAAATTTTTTTTTTTTAAAAATTAGCCTTGCAGTATACTTTACAGAATGTCACTAAAAACTGAATAAAATAACATAAAATTTAATGACCTTGGACAAATAGTTTTCAAATTTCAAAGTTCTAAATAATTTGTTTAAGTTTTCAAAGTTCTAAATAATTAACTTTGAATAATTAATGCGCTACATGCAGGATTTCATAATTGTTGTCAGTTGTTTATTTTTAGTTTTATTACTGATAAAAGTTTCTAAAAATAATGTTTTCATGTTAACTCTTTATAAGAACTACTTCACATGCTCTGAACATCATTTTTTTCTTTTCTTCTTCTCAATAGTGAATGAACTTCAGAGTTAAACCAATGAATGGTTCAATTGTGATGAAAATGATAAGGAAATAGAACATTTTAATGATAAAGAAATTTTTGATAGAGTTATGGTAGCTGAAAAAAGCTAAGAAGATCAAACTAAGGAAAAAATAAGTCACGATACAGCACAGATTGAAGGACTAATTCAATACATAGAAGAGCAATATGATGCAACACTTTGCAGATTTTTTAGCAAATAAAGAAGTGTTTCAACAACACCAAGAAACAAAAAAAGCAGATAGACTTTTTCATATGTAAATTAAAAAACAATGTAAAAGAAGAAAATGTGTAGAAAACTGCTAACCAAAAATATGTAATAGATATTTTTTTTATTTATTTTATAACCGTCGCTGAACAGCGGACCAAATTTTTTGGGCTTACGACTACTAATGCTCAACTCTGTAACCTTGTAATTGTGAACCTGATCCATCCAGAAGACAAGGGAACTCCTGGATCAAGTATTGGGAGATATTTGCCTTTGTGGAGGACTTTTCGGTGGAGCTAACCCGCACTTGTGCCACATGGAGAGGAAAACCACAAAAACCTCCCATGGTTAGTCTGACGGCAAGGAGACTCTAACCCAGGATCCGTCTACCACAGAGGATATTTTACATCAGCAGTGTAGTCGGTGCAAGCAGGATGCGGTATTCGTATCGACCAGCCACGGCTAGGATTCGAACCTGGTTCACCTCATTGGAAGGCATACTCAATAATAGATATTAAAATTTATCATTTATAATTCTAAAAAAAAAATTATGTGTGTTTCTTTTAAGCATTTTGCGGATTACCCGCAAATTCCCTTATCTGCTCTTCGTGGATAAGCAGGGTTTACTGTGATTATAAACAACTACTAGAACAGAATTGACAAAAGAAAAAAAGTACTGAAATAGGAATATTAATTTTAGTAAAGATTAAGAGCAATGTAGACCTCTTTTAACCCCTTCCTCCTTGCTCCCGTGAAAATGACGGGGTGAGGTTTCGCCCTCTATTTCTCGCTCTTGTGATATTTCCGGGCTGGAGTGTTCAGTAGTAACGCACCAATAAGAACAAAAATAATTCATTTATTTTGCCAGGAAAACATTTTATTTCTCATTTTACACACCAGATGGCAGTACCAGGATATTTTTAAGGTAATTGTAGATAATTTATTTCAAACTAGATGTAGGAAGGAAACTCAGTACTACTGTCCAGATTGTGACGATCACCTCTGTATCTCATGCTTAGAAATTTATCACATAAGAAAGAATTACTAATCTTTATTTATATTATACGCAAGTTTAATAAAAAAAAACTTAATGTTCAAAACATATATTTTTTTAATTTTCCTTGCTTGCTGGAAAACCAACATTATGTCATAGTAACCCTGAATGTTGGTTTTTCCTAAAAATTTTATTTAAAGTTTCATGCTGAAAACAAATCAAAAATGAATATATATACATTGTTAATACACATATTTTTAGATAATTTTCAGGGATAAAAAAAAAAAAATTGGCACTTTTAAGACCATTTTCTTGAAAATTAACAGATTGTTAAGGGGTTAAATTAATTTTTAAACTTAAAGGGAATGATGGCATAAGTATTTATCAAGTTATTTTCTGAAATATATTTAATTCCTAACTGATATCTTTAAAATAATACTTGATAGATCAAGGATTCATAAAGTTTATCTTTCTTACTTATTTGTATAAATAAACATTAGAGAAAAATCAGATTCTTTAAAAACTCATGAAATTTTTCATATTATCCTTTACAAGACATATTTTTATTATAAATCTCAAGATATTTTAATTTAAAGAAATATTTAATTGAATCTCAATGTTGTAAATTTAATTAAAAATTTGGAACAATATTAATAATAAATATTTTAAAATTGAAAACAGTAAAAAAGATCTTAATAAATTTAACTCAGTCATATTTAATCACTTTTAAACAATAACTACCACTTGTTTAATTATACAATTTGTCTTGTACTCTAAAGTTCAAGTAGTGTTTTGCTCATAGTTTGCAAAATAATTCATTAATACAAAAAAGGAAATTTTAAGTTGAAAATGAAATTTTAAAATTTCACTAAAATAATGATTTTAGAATAAAAATGATTTTTATTGTTTCGAATAAGATGCAAAAAAAAAAATTATTTAAGCAAAATATCAAATGATTTTAAACTTATTTTAAAAAAACATTTATTTTAAATAAAATAGTTTTATAGTTGTATTCTTTTTTTAAAATTTATATATGAAATTTCTAGTTTAATCTTATCATTTATATTAAATTTTTGGGATTATTAGAAACAAATGAATTTAAGACATTTTAAACTCATTCCTTGTGCTCATTCATTTTTTCCATTTAATTTTCTACTTCATTTTATCTATTCATTTTTTCATATCATTTTTTTTCCTAAGACAATGTTTTACTGTTGTCTTAGAAAAAAAAATTTCTTGAAGTGAGCTTAAACTTCACTTAAATCATTTAACATCACTTAAATCATTCACTTAAATCATTTAACACTTAAATCATTAATCACTTAAATCATTAATCATTAAAGGGGCATAAAGTCTACTTCGTGATATTGCAAAATGCAAACCTTATTACAATACTTTTTAATGCGACAATGCAGCTCATCGACTGGGTATTTATAGTTTTTTGAAATATTTTTTCTGGAATTGATATATTTTAAGTTTTAATGTTTATTTTTGAAAAGTTACATAATTTTCAGAACTATGAGCAAAACAAATGATGGTTACATGCTTTAAAAGGGGCAAAAAATTATAAAAACCCTGATTTGGGGTATTTACCAAGACTGCGTAGACTTCCATGGTTTAANGATCGTTGCAGAAATGTGCACATTTTGAAACCCATCTTTGAAATGGAAAATACAGAAAGCAATTTAAAAGATACTTATTTTGTTAGATTAAATAAAAAACTATTTTTAAGCAAATGTAGATATACTTTAGTAAAGTGAACAAGCATTCTTGTCCATGTCTCAAATTTAAAAAAAAAAAATAATTTTTTTAAATAAAACTTAGGTGATCATTATTTACCCCAGAAACAGAGTGATCGTGAATTACCCCGGGTCACCCTATTTACCAAAGGTAGGGATAAATACCTATTTATAAATACCTTACCTACCAAGTATACCGACTGGGCTTACCTACTGTGTAAACCCCACCCACATCTGTAAACATAAACAACAGAGGAAATATAGTAAGTCAGTTCAACTATTCGTCTACGTAGACGATATCGCTATTGTGACCCGGACCTCTTAAACAAGCCTTTATGGTATCAAAACAAAAGGCAAAGACCATGAATTTAATAGTGTCTGAGAGAGTCTGGCTCGCAGGCCCCATGTCCAAGAGGTCGTGGAATCGATCTCCGCCGGCCGAAGACTCTCCACATAGTAAATGGTAAGTGATGCACATTAAATCTGTCGGGGTCACAAAGTCTTCCAAGTTCCCATAATTAATCAATACCTCTGGGGGCAGTGATCCAGGATCTCCCTTGTCTTCTGGATTGGGATCAAAATTACAAGGATATGAAGTTGAACATTGGTAGTCGTAAACCCGTAATTGGGTCAGCTGCTCAACGACAGTTATAAAATAAAAACGAATTTAATAGAGCTGTGGTGGCTCAAAGTATAGAGTGTTTGCCTTGCAATGAGATGAACCGGGTTCGAATCACAGCGATGGCTGGTCAATACGAATCCAAATGCCGAACCGGCTTGCACCGACCACAGTGCTGATGTGAAATATTCTTAGTGGTAGACGTATCATGGATTAGAGTCTCTTTGACATCATGCTAACCATGGGAGGTTCTTATGGTCTTATCTATATAACGCAAGTGTGAGTTAGTTCCATCAAAAAGTCCTCCACAAAGGCAAATTTCTCCCAATACTTGACCCAGGAGCTCCCTCCCTTGTCTTCTGGGTTGGGTTCCAAATTACAAGGTTACAAGTTGAACATTAGTAGTCGTACGTAAACCCAAAAATTGGGTTGGCTGTTCAACGGTGTTTATAAAATAAAACAAAATTAATTTAATGGTAAATAATAAAAAATAAAAAAACAAGTATATTCAATGCTTAAATTCATCAGATCTCCAATTTAATCATTTAGAAATAAAGGAATACAAGTTTTAAAAGTGAATTGCAACAATTATTTAGGAGCAGAATTTAACAATAACAATGACCTAACTACAGAAATATATAAACAAATCACAAATGCTAATAGATGTTTTCAAAGTCTGAAAAAATATATGAGATACAACTTTCTAAAATTAAGAACTAAATTACTTTTGTATAAAAAGTCTTATAACACTTGTCTTGACTTATGCTTCTAAGACCTGAGCATTGACTTCGAAAGACGAGAAGGCGATTAAAATTTTTGAAAGAAGGGTATTAAGGAATATCTGTGGTGGAATTCAGGTAAACGGTTCATAGAGAAGAAGAACTAACTTAGAGCGGCATAAAATCTCAAGAAAGCCTGATGTTGTCAAGTAAATAAAAATACAAAGACTAAAATACGCTGGACCAAAACAGAGAGAAAATATTTTTATCAAAACCTATCGGAATAAGACAAAGAGGACTACCACATCTTAGGTGGATTGACAGTGTTGACAAAAGGACAAGAACACTCTAGCCTGGTCGGTAATATGCTGGGCCCATGTCCAAGAGTTCGATCACAGACGGCCGAAGACCACCCATGTAGTAAATGGTGACTCGATGCACGTTAAATCTGTCTAGTCACAAAGTCCTCCATGTTCCCATAACAAATCAATACCTCTGGGGCTAGTGATCCAGGAGTTTCTTGTCTTCTGGATTGGTTCAAAGTTACAAGGCTACGGAGTTGAACATTAGTAGTCGTAAACCCAAAAATTGGGTCGGCTGTTCAACGATGGATATAAGATATAAAAGGTGGCTGTTTTGTAGGAGTGACTGTAAAGTGAGGTTTCACTGTACTTAATATATTATTTTTAAATAAGTAGAAACTAAATAGCAACAATCAAAAGAAGAAGAAAAAATTACTCAATTTCTAGAAGAATTGAAATAACTACAGTTTTTGAAATGTAATACCAAAACTCTAATTTTATATCTATACATAGAACTGTTAATATAACATCAAACTATAATAAAACTACGAAATTAACAAATTAGATACTAAACATACTTACTACTAAAAAAACCACATTCTGAATCAAATAAACAAACTTTTAAGCATGAACAGTGAACACTCAAACCAACTTATAAATAATATGATATACAGATTTTTAAAATATTGTGTAAAACTAAACAAAATATGAATCTTACTTTTTAAAAAAAAAATAATAAATTTGACTAACTTATAATTTTATAATACTATATCAAATTTAAGATATTCTTATAATACTTAAACAATTGTATTTCTTCCTTTTATTTTCTAATTTTCTGGAAGAAATACCAGCTCAGCTTTTTCTTAATGTAACTGGTAGTACTTCCAGCAGACCTTTAGTTTATGTGCAATGATCTATATTTCAATTATATTCTTTTAAAAGTAAAGTTTCCAGATATTTTTGGTTCAGTGTAAATTTGTCCCTTAATTTGTATAAATATATTAGTATTTTATTTTTAATCCTTATACATAACATATAATGTGCTAGTTAAAATGTGAATAATATTTACACTATTTATATCTTATTACGGCTTTATAACAAGTTAAACGTTAAAACAAGATAACGTTAAAACAAGTCAAAAACTGACACATATCAAAACGTTGACAGCCATGAAAGAACTATTTTTACTTTTTCCTACATATGAGAAGTCAAAGAAAGAGTAAGATCTCAAACAACTAATGACAGATGTAACACTTTATATTTATTGTAGAGGAAACTATAAAGTACACGAAATACCTTAAATTTATTTAATCAGATGATAGAATCTCATGTAAGTTTACGAAGAGTTCGAAGAAAGGGAAAACAATTATTAATGTGGTATCGTAATTAAAAATCTTTAATAAGTTAGTTTAACATTTCACGCCAATATATCCAATTACAACAACAAAAGCTTTAAAAATTCAAAAATTCTAAGACTATAAAAAGTATTAAAAGAGGGGCGATTAATTAAATAATATGCCGACAACCTGTAATATTTCTAGAAGTTCGCAAGAGGAAATAGTAAACATGAGTCATTGTTTATAAATCTTCAATATTTAATTTAAAGAGTAACTAACTTACTTTATTCAATGCAGACTAACTAATTTACAAGCTTTGAGAGATAATTCATTTCATTACACACTAATAAGTAATTTTAAGATAACTTATACCTATAATTACAAGAAATACTCTCACTCACTGATATAAAATTAGTTTTCCTTCCCCTTTAACTTAAAACTGTAAATAAAAAACGCCATTGACAACTACAACAACGCCATCTGTTGAATCATATAATTATAGATCAAGGCAAGACGCAAAAACATTACCTACTTCAACTTTTACTCAATGAATGATTGAGCTAAGCCATGGATGTTGAAGCGATAATCTAGTCTCCATGAGTTAAGCACTGTTAGCTCTTCTTTGTAGTATTAAAAAAGCAGAAAGGCAGAATTACTCATAGTAAATATCTATTCATGTAAAGTATTGTTTCCTTTATAAAAATTTTTTAAAACAGAATAAACATATTTTGCGTTATATTTAAAAGAAAACCACGAAATTTTTTTTTCTTTTTTTTGCAAACGTATCATCCTTGACAGCTCTTCTAAGTTATGCAATTTTTAACTCAACTCGGAAATCAAAGTAACTCGCTATTAAGGTAGAGGAGTAAAATAATAGTTATAAAAGTTATCTAAATTACTTATTTTATTTGAAATGAAAGAAATCAAGTTTCACGCAGAGAAAAATCGCGAAAATGTTTTTCAGATCTCTTCACTGAAATCGGATTCCAGCTAAATTTTTACTATCGTAATAGTCATCTTTTATAATTAATCAACTATTATTATCATCCTTGATTGACCACCTTTGTGAATATAACAAAATTCTCTTCTTATTTTTGTAATTTAGCCCAACTCTGAAATCAAAGTAACTCACAATTTAAGCATCGGAGTAAAATCATATTTATGAAAATGATTAAAATAGATTATTTTATTTAAAATTAAATTTAAAGAAATCAGATTCTGCGTTACAGGAAAAGGAAAACCATGAGAATGCTTTAAGATATCATTTGTTGATTGGCAGCCTATCATCTTTGTTCAACTCTGAAATCAAAGTACCTCACAAAATAAGTATCATGGAAAAATCCTCTTTATGAAAGCAAAGAAAATAGATTATTTTATTTAAAATTAAATTAAAATAGTCAGATCTAGCAAAAAGACAGACTATCATTTTAGTGAATGTTATGAAATGTTCTTATTTTTGTAATTTTAATGTTACAAAGAAATAAAAGTCACTCACAATTTACGTAACGGAGTAAAACCATATTAATAGAAGTCATTAAAATGTCAAAATACACAAGTGGGCGACCTTTGTGCTAAAATACAAACTAAAGCAAGCAACGTTAAAGAGCACAAAAATGTTTATAAAATACAGACAGCTGCTTCGGATGCTCAAAGGGCATTTTCTGTTGCACTGATGAAGGTTGCCCTTGAACATTCGAAACAGCTGTCTGTATTTTATAAATATTTTTGTGCTCTTTAACGTTGTTTGCCTTAGTTTGCATTAAAATGACTTTATTTATTTAAAATTAAATTAAAATATTCAGATTTTGCTTNCAACGTTAAAGAGCACAAAAATATTTATAAAAAACAGACAGCTGCTTCGGATGCTCAAAGGGCATTTTCTGTTGCACTGATGAAGGTTGTCCTTGAACATTCGAAACAGCTGTCTGTATTTTATAAATATTTTTGTGCTCTTTAACGTTGTTTGCCTTAGTTTGCATTAAAATGACTTTATTTATTTAAAATTAAATTAAAATATTCAGATTTTGCTTTACACGCAAAGGAAAACCACAAAAATGTTTTTCAGATTACATGATGGAACTAAGGATCCCAGGTTAATGCTCATAATCGCAATGAAATAACTTTTTATAATTAATCATTTTTTTAAAATCATCTTTGAGGTATAATAAATGTTGTGAAACGCTCTTCGTATTTTTGTAATTTTTTACACAACTCAGGTGTCTAAATAACTTGTAATTTAGATATCGGAATAAAATCATCCTTATGAAAGACTTTTCGAATGAAAATAATCAGAATTTATGTTTCGCACAAATGAAAACCACAAAAATGCTTTAACAACAGCCTGACAATTATGAGAATCTACCTCAAAGATTCTTAGCAATTTTCAAGTTATTATTTTTTTTGTTTTGTTTTTTTATTTTTCATATGAAATTTAATGTTCTGAGCAGCTTAGATTACTAACAAAAATGCATTTTTGTTAGTGAAAATGCAAAAGTGCGCAAAATAAAGAACATGTTCTTTATTTTGTTTTCATGTTCTTTATTTTGTTAACATGTCCTTTATTCTGTTTTTTTCCCCTTCATTTTAGTAATTTTTTTAAAGCCCCCAAATTGTGTGCTTTTTTTTAATATTTTATTTCAAGTATTTGAATTGTTACGAATTTTGGATTTTTCTAACACAGAGTTGTCAATCATTATTAAGCATTTTATTTTTCAAAAATCAAATAATGAACAAATTAAATGCAGCTGCTATTCGCGATCGCAACGATCTATAGGGGGCGTTATTGTATGAGACGAATTCCAGCGATTTCTATCTGTCATACAGTCATTCAGTTACTCTGGAGCCGTCTTTAATGCAACATGTAGCATTCTAACGCTCCTTCTTTATTGTGGCTAATTAAATTTAAAAAAGAAAAATGTTTGAAAACAAAATGGTATCCCTTTTTTTTAGAGAAGGAACATCCAAAACACATCGGAAAATATTTGTAAATAAACAGAAAAAAATATTTATCCTCTTATTAGAGTTAAAACCTAATGCATGAGAAATAGTTTTACTAAATTTAATGATTTAACATGAAGGGCCTATTTAAACTTTACATTCCATAGTTTTAAGAATCATATTACTTCAAACATTAAAATAAGCAAGAAGTATACATAAGCCTCATAATTTTATATAATTTAATTTCGCAAAAAAAGTTTTTTAAGAAAATTTTTTATCAAATATTTTTAAGTTTTAATAAAAATCATTATTAAAAACTAAAAATCGTAAAATAAAGAATGCTTACAAAACAAACAAAAAAATTTTAAAAAAATCTAAAAATTCCTCACATTAAAATAAAAAAACTTTCATGTTTTTTTTNTTCATGTTTTTTTTCTAAATTTATAATCGGACGTAGAAAACCATTCTATAAAAAACTATCATCAAATAGGAAAAAAAATTATTTACAAGTAAAAATTTTTTTTATAAATTATAACACTTACCTGCTTTATAAATCCGGAGAATTCCAATATGATATGTTCTTCGATTTTTGACACAATTTTTTAGTGCTACGAAAGTGCGTCTTTGGGATTTGCCAAAAACAGAACAAGATGCAATATTATTTTTTCAGGAGCGAAATATTTTACCAAAAAATCGAAAGTGTACCCATTCTTATGACATGAAACTTTATTATGGTAAACGTACGTTTTGGAAATGTAATTTCATTTGAAATATTATTTATTAGAATTCATATGGCGACAGCATCAGATGAATGAAAATAGAGATTGTTTTGACTCTATGTTAAACACTATATCGACCCATTTTCCACCGAAATCCGATTAACTACTTTGATTTTAAATAAAGTGTTTTGATTTTAAATAAAGAGTTTTATTTTATGATTTGTCACAAAAATTTTAGGTGTAGATTGGTGGCAATTAAAAACCACCAAATCTGTAGTTTCGGTGGCGTTAATACGTAAGTACCGAATTTTGATTCCATACTTTTCTGAATCATATATATGATAATATTACTTCAAACATTAGAATATGCAAGAAGTATAGATAAACACATAATGTTATACTATTTAATTTTTCAAAAAAATTATTTTAGTAACAATTTTTATCAAAAAATTATGAACTAAAAAACGTAAAATAAAGAATTCTTAGGATTAAAAAACGATTTTAAAAACTCCTCATATTAAAATAAAAAACTTCCATATTGTTTCTTTTTTTATTCTAGTAGTTCTAGGTAACGAATAATTCCATTCGTTAAAAAAAAACATTCTGTAGAGAACTATCATCAAATTTGAAAAAAGAAATTATCTACAAGCAAATTTTTTATTATTAAAGTCATAACACTTACCTGATTTATAAAATCCGAAGAATTTCAAAATGATATGTTCTTTGTTTGAAAACTTTATTCTCAAATATTATATACATAGTTGATCCCTTTATTACTTTTAGATAACATACCACACAGCAAAATTTTATAATTGTAAGATCTCGATATGAATTTTAATATGCAGCTTGAAAACAGAATAGCTGAATTTTAGTTGAAATTATTCTTTCGAAAATAAAAAATACTTACCAAGAAAACGATAAAAATTTATTAATAATCAGCACAAATGATACTATTTCATGTAATACGGATGATTCTTAATTGTTGTTTTCCGAATTATATCGATACAGAAATATATACTATTCCAAAAAGAAGAAGAATATTCTATAACTATTACAGTATAGTACGTTCTGAATTCACATTTATTCATTGGAATGAAGAAAGAAATGTTGACTTCACTTTAATTTGTGATGAATTGAGGACAGAAGAAATGTATTTTACCGTAATACACACATCTGTAACAGTATGCGATCCCGAAATTGGAAGTTATCAGTTGCAGGTTTGTTGATAATAGAAGTTAAAAAATTATTCAGGAATTTTTCTTCAAATGTTTGGTGTGTTCTGTTTCTGAAAGATTTACCAATATTCTGGAGAGTTTCTTCATGTTCTTCGGCCTTTTCCTCAGGGAAATTTTGCTTCTAATTTGCTGCTAAGATAATGGCGTCTGATTCTGATGGAACTAAATGAAAACTTAATAAATTAATGCCTGATATTTTCAGGCTCTCGCTAGAGGGCGTACTCGAGAATGCGCTCCATGGTCACTCCTCGCATCTTCGATCATCCATATATCTTTCGCTTATTTCTGCCCATTTTGCGAATAAGTTGACATTAAATTAATGTCAAAATAAGGTGAGTTAGATTAAAGCAAATAATTGTTTTCTACTATATTCAATTAAAACAGCTTGAGTTTTTGTAAAGGGTCTCTGTTTCAACCAACAAGGATTTCAATTTTACTTGGTATACAATAAATATGCAAAGTATAATACATTAATATGGTTTACGTAGCTATAATAACTAAAATGAACTGTTTTGTGTAATTATTATATATGTTAGTTTTAACCAGGTTAAAATGATAAAGTTTAATAGACTGCTATATATTATTCGCCCAAATCAATTAAGGACGTATGCTAGTCATGGACAAATGCTTGCTGGCAGAAAAACTAAACGTGGTTCTATGCTTTCCAAGATGATTGATAATAAAGATAAAAAGTTGGTACTCTTTTCCAATTCTTTTAATACAAGTTTCAATCTCTGAAGCTTTTTATTTATAGTATTAATAGATTATGTATATAAACATCAATTTAGCTTTCACTTTTGTTAACTACTATAGATATCTATTTCTAAACAAATTTTTTACAATTACAATGTTTTATTTCTAATGTTTTAATAATGGGAAAAACCAAGATGTTTTAGTACCTGTTCCAAACAGCTTTGCCCATCAGCTGCAGGGACCATCTGGTGATGGGATGCAAGAAACCTTGAATAGCATTTTTCAATTATCGATACAAGATCTATAGCATTTGGTTGAGTTATCATGGGTTTGTCTAGGTTTTTCTGAGAGAATTTAGACATAATTTGTGAAAATTAAAAATTAGATTAAAAAATCAACACAAAAATATGGATTTATCGTTTCTTACGGGATACAAAAATAAAAATTTAATAACAAGTATTTTGTGAATCTACCGTTTTTCCTAAAGTTGAATTTGTGAAGGTACCGCTAAACGATAGAAAATTTAGTCTGGACAGACCCCTGGTTATCCAGTTAGTATTACACATAAATGGTATTTCTAAGGACGTTGCACTGTTTTTCTATTTATTAGACTTATAGGACTATTTTTTTCTAGTTTTAAAATACACTATTTCTGTTTAAAAAAAATTGTGTCATAAACTTGCTCACATACAGGTATATTCATAGAATTATGTTTCCTCTGACCGTAAATCATAATTACTGTTCATCGTAATTCCTTAGAGTTGTATTTCATGTTTAATTCTAATCACGACAATTTGTAATTAAAATTATGATCTAAGTAATGGATTAATAATAATTTTTTTTAAGCTCTGCTATGTACTCAATCTTTTTTTTTACTCTCTCCATATTTTGTTACTTAATTTTTTATGTATACTTTCAGCAAAAAGTGGCATTTGAATTTTATGGAAAAGGTGAGTAACTTTACTCTTTCATATCATTCTGTTTACTAAATATGTAAGATCACTGATTCTGCTATACTTTGGAAATTGTGGATCTTTTAAAAGTCACGACTTCAATTTTTCTGGGTCCCTTTGTAATTCTGAGTTCTATTTAAAATATAAAATTTCAACTTCTTTATCTATTAATATTTACATTTATATTATTTTATCTATTATTTGACAAAACAGAGTATTTCAAACCAAAAAGAATTATAGTTAAACAATGAAGGCTTTTAATTTATATTATTTTATCGACTGTTAGACAAAACAGAGAATTTCAAACCAAAAAGAATTATATTTAAACAATCAAGGCTTTTAATTAGGACTAATTAAACATCTGCATTAAGGAAAAGTTACAAAGTAATTTGATACTTAGAATTATGCTAATTTTCACCTTTATCTAAGAATAAAGGAAAAAAAGAAATTTTTCTCTATGTATGGTGTGTTCAAATTCAATAATCAGTAGGTTCATCCATGACTAATGTGTTGTTCAGTGGTTTTTCAAGTGTTAAGAACATCAACTCATCGATGACATCAGTTTAACAAAAAACAATTATTTAATAACAAATATGAATTTGTATATTGACACTTCCATGTCTCTAAGTTCTTTGCTTATTACTCGTTTATTGCTCACAGTGCCCCCTCAAAGGTTTTTACCAATATGTCTAAACTTAGGTTTTAATTTTACCCACATAAATCTGTTGGCGCTGTTTTCTTACTGCATTAGAGAATTTTGCATCTTGAGAGCATGTCTTAACTTATTTTTTATGTTCTCTTTGCAATTTTGACACTTTATGCGTAAGCATGCACAAACTTTTTGAGTGAAGGGCCACTCACACAGCAAGTACAAAAGGCCGCACACATATTTAGTCATGTTAGTGGTAAATATGATGATTTTTATCTAAACATTAGTGTTTTAAGCACTGAGTATTTTTATCAGTAAACTTAATAACATATTTGTAGAAAATTAAATACTTTTAATTATATGAATTTATATAAAACTAAAAAAATTTATACTTTTTTTATATAACTTTTTCCATTTTTCACAGTAATTAATTTATCAAATATATACATATATACTAAGGGGCTAAGCCCCCTGTTCGCTGCCGCTCACCAACCCCGATTATTGTTTCGTAATAATTGTCTTTTCTTGGCAGAAAGCAGCTTTTCTATTAAAGTTAAAATTATTCACTTAACATATATATGTACTAAAAGGAATTCTGTTTGCTTACTCTTGTGCCTCTACTTCCCACCTCCAAATATTACTATCTATTAGTATTATAAACATTTATATCTCTTGGTGAACAGAATTGATTTTTCAAAGTAATAATTTTTTTTTAAATGACATTTATATTCTTATAACATTATATTGTTCGAACAAATTTGATGAGTTCACAACCATAATTTAATATTCTCGCTAGTAATAGCAGTACTGGAAAATAAGTTTAAATTAGGGATACAAAAATATTTAAAGGAAAACAATACCTTTACAACTATTGTTAATTTTGTATGTATGTATGCATGCATGCATATATGTATGTATGTATGTATGTATGTATGTATGCATGTACGTATGTAGTACGTACACACACACGCACACACAGAGAGAGAGAGAGAGAGAAATATTTTGGGGGATATAAATTATAAATTCTATAAGCCTCCCCAAATTACAGAAACAATCCGTAGTAATAGGCTGAGATCCCTGGGCCATCTATGGAGAAGCCCTGTAAATAGCGCCATGAGAATCGTCACCTTTAAGAGCCTCGACAGGTCACGTCTCAGCGGCAGTCCCCCTACTAGATGGCTCAACAACATCGAAAATGACCAGGAAAACCCTAAACATTAGAAATTGGAAATAAATTGCCATGGATAGGAGGGGCTGGCATTTGTCAGCTATTGAGGCAGCCAAGGTCTGCAAGGGGCTGTTGCGCTGACAAAGAAGAAGAAGATATAAATTCTAACGAAAAAGAGGCTTACAGAATGAAAGTGCAAAAATGTACGCATTTTAAAGAGTAATATAAATTTTAGTTAAATACTTTAATTAAATATTTCAATTAAAGAAAATTTATAATTTTCAAACAAAAACAAATTAAAAGAACATTTTTTATTGCATTCAGAAGCTCCCACGGGCCACACTCGAACAGTCGGCTGGTTGCATGTGGCTCGCGGGCTGCAGGTTGTGCACCCTTACTTTATAGGATTAGGGCGGAATCACTGAGAATGTCATTCACCATTTCAGGGCTATAAGTGCTAATTTTTCTTCCAGGCTCCCAAAGCCAAGAGCGTGTTTGAAGGTGTGCACCAGCCCAATAAAAGGCAAACCATGCTTCAATCTCTGTTTATTAAAAATATCACTGATGTTCTATCAACTGGAGAGATCAGCCCAGAAATACTTGGATACAATGTTGAAATAAGTGGAGTGAGTATGTTGTATGTCTATTGTAGTGTATCTACCACTACAAAAATATAATTCCAATTCACTAGTATATAGGACATGTTAACTNAAGTGAAACGGATTTTATTCTAAATTGCGCAAAAGAGAAATTTTTTTCAAAATGCGAGAAATTCGCGAATTTTGAAATTTTTTTATAGAATGCGCGAATTTCTCGCGGTAATAATTTTTTAATGCGAGAATATTAAAAAATATGCGAGATTCTCGCGTTCTCGCGCTGTAGTGAAAACACTGCACTACAAAAATATAATTCCAATTCACTAGTATATAAGGCATGTTAACTCAATTATATGGAGGGGTGCCTTTTCATTGATGAAGGTTGACGTTGTCAATAACAACTCACCCCACATTGGTGACCCGGACGCGCTGTGATCCCGCCTACCTTGGTAGAAACGCCCGCTACGATTTAAACACGCCTACTTCGATGGATGGTCCACATTGAACAGTTGACTTTCTACTTGTGACTGAGACATTATCCACCTCCACTAGCTGTTGCTACTTAGTTTTGATCACACAGAGCATACAACATATTTAGTGGATTGCGAATGGCAACACAGGAGCAACCGTGAACTTAATACAGCTATCACTATCAGCACTCGAAAAGTACGGTGATCTTAATACAGCTCTCACGGCTTCTCACAAAACAGCAATGAATCAACTAGTGGTATCAGTTCATCGACTTCTATCACAGATATAATTCTAGTGGGGGAGTACTGTGGTGTATCTATCACTACAAAAATGTAATTCCAATTCACTAGTATATAAGACTTGTTAACTTGATTCTATGGAAGAGTACCTTTTCATAGATGAAGGTTGACATTGTCGATAACTACTCCTCTCCCCATATCTATGTTAAAAATGATGGGTAAGTTTTCACCAAATCAACTAATAATAAGATCTTAGTAATAAATTTAGTTTTGGCTCATAGGTAGAACTAACAAAATTCCAAACATTAGATTTTTAAAAAAATTTTGTTTCTGAACTGAGCTTTTTTAAATGTTAAAATTTTCACGAATTTTTTGCAGTTTTTAAATTTTTGAACAGATAACATGAGTCTGGTTTAGCTTAGAAAAACAAATATTTTCTTATGAAATTCGACTTTATTCGTCCACGTTAATGAGTGATACAGTCATTCCAACACTCCTCCAACTTTTTGATGCCTTTTTTGTAGGATGATTTGTGTTTGCTCTCAAAATAGACTTTAGTTACTGATAGTAAAGTAATTCTAATGATCTTTATATTAAGCTCTGTCATTGATGATATAACGTAAACAGTTACATTACTTTATATAGCAATTCTCTTTATAAGAATTGAATGTACACAAAGTATGATTCTCAATTCACTGTAATTCATGGGTCATATTCCTACATTCTTCAAAGGATTATTATTTCATGATAAAATACTATTTTTTTCTGTGCAAGGAGAAAATATTTTCTTTTTGTAACGCTGAAAATAAAGAAGAAAAAATTTTTTTTTTTCCAGAAGACATAAAAGATTACTGTTGACTTAGTTAAATAGATGGAAACGACTATGTTATCAGGGCCTAGTTGAAGTTTGGCTGGGCCCAAACCAATTAAAGGCAGTGGGGCCCTTTAAGTTCAACCCCATTTTCCATACACAGAAAGCAAACTGTCATTTTTTTATTGGTGATTATTGAAGATTAAATTAATAGTATTTGTTAATGCTACTTGTTGAATTTATTTTGAACAACTCCAAGCAATACAAAAGGAAAAAATATCTGGGGCCCTAAGCTGCAACCTTTTCTGCTTATATATAAATCCAACCTTGTGTGTTATTCATTTTTTTTGGGAGGGGGGGGGGTAGTCGAGATCAAATTATGAAGGGGATTTTTCAAATAATCAAATAAACTTTGTTTATGATTTTAATCCCTCCTTTGCTCTTTCTGATATCAGTCTTGGTGGGCGTAAATTCAAAACTGTTTTTTTTCCTTCCACATTTGAAAACTAATTTGTGACTCTTTATGTGATGTTAATACTATTTTTTTTACCATGATTTTTTAGTTATGTATTGAAAGTGATTTAAACACCTTGCATTATGCATGTTTCCAAAATGGTAACATCAATGCATTTATTTTTCAGGTTAAAGTATCTCCTTGTTACCAAACATTGAATGTATACTGGCAGATACCATCTACTAGTTATGAGAAACACGAAGAAATAGCTATTGCCCTGAATTCTATAGCTCCACGACTTAGGTATCAAATATTGCAGAGTAATCTTTGAATATGTTTGTAATGAATCTCTGTTGTGGACTGATTTTTGTTTTTTTGTTATGAATCTTTGTTGGCATTGCCTGCGCCTGCTCTTAAAGTTAATTTCAGTTCTGCTTCTTAAATAGTGACTTTTTTTCATTTTTCTTGGCGAAAGAAATTCGAAAAACACTATCAGCTTTTGTTATGTATGGCATAGCATCTGTAGTCATGAGTATTAGGCTAAAAACTAAACTAATGAAAATAATAATTTAAAAAAAAATTAAACGGAGTGAATGAGGAAGAAAAAAAGAATAAATAAATCAGTATTGAGCAACACTACAAAATTGTTCTCTAAGCTGAAAGGTATATACCTATACAATGGAAGAGCTTAGTGGAAAAACAAAGTGGAAAATGACACTTTTAGGGAAATTAATGAATCAGAGAAAATAACATAAAGTGGTTGCATCAATATAAGCATGTTTAATGTAACAGGATTTGCTTTTACTTTGATTTTAACATAACTAACCCACATTAGTTTTTAGCATGATTTTATTTTAAATAAGTCAGTGGTAAATAAAATACGACCAAGAATCATTAGTAAATTGGTTATAAAATAGTTTAAATGCCATTTTTTCGTACCCTGAATATAGCCTCAAATGTCACTTACCTGGTTCTTCTGATAAATTCTTTATTATATAAAGCTAATAAATCTATTTATTATTTGTTACCCTTTTCGGTAGCTTTACATTATCAAATTCAGCTTTTTGTTGTTTATTCCACCAGAATAGAATTCCACAACTGTATTTAGCATCTCTTTGCATGATGCTATTGTTAGCGATCAACTCATGATGGTCAAAATTTTGTATTTAACACTTTTAAAGGGCTGTGTGTGAAATACTTGTTTCCCCAGTATTGGTATTAAAGCTGCTTAGTATTGGTGTAGTTTTAATAATTGGAAAATATGTCAATATAATTGGTGTAGTTTTAATAATTGGAAAATATGTCAATATAATTGGATGTAGTTTTAATAATTGGAAAATATGTCAATATAATACTCAATACCTATATTTGGCATTTATTACATTTGAGTTGTGTGCAAAATAAATTTATCAATGGCAGCAAACTAAAGCCGGAATATTAATAACAAATAAAATTCTTATGAGACCTTGATAAGGACTTTGAAGCATGACTGTTTCTCTTATCTGAGCTTTGATTTACCGTTTAAAAATTTTATAAGTAGTGGTGAAAAAAAGATTTCTTTTAATTCCAATTCATTAAAATATTAATATACTATTTAGCTTATAAATTATTTTTTTATTTCAGCTAATACATATTATCAACAGTGATTAAGCATCATTGTTGTCAATAATAGTATGGCAATTTTTTATAGTTTCTCAAAACGAATGAATACCTTAATTTCATTAATTTTGTCTTTTAGTACATGGTTTATTTCTTTTATTTCACTATGCATATATTACCTAAATTAATTGAGAATCTTTAGCGTCAATAATACAGTGTCGATTTTTCCCCTTTTTTCCTAAACGAATTAGTACTACTTTTCTATTAATTTTTGAATACTTATATTTTTTTCATATTTTTTTAAATACTCATTTTTTTAAATTTATATTTTTATCTAAGTATATTTTTTCTCATTTCAATAACTGTTGATTTTAAATCATTCACTTTTACAGATACACATTTTAAAAGAATTGGTTTAAACCAAAATATTGGTATAAGCAAACTGTATCAGATAACTTTAGAATTTAGAAATACTAATCTGATAGTGACGTTGTCTATGCGTGCTCTCACGTTACTGAAGGTATCTGATATAGAAAATAAAAATAATTAAATATTAAAGTAGCATAATAAATTCTTTTTTCTTGTTAATCAAATAGTGCTATAAGCAAATAAATATCGCTGATGTTAGCTTTAAAATATTTGAATAATTAAATTGTCTAAAGTTAAATATAAAATAATGGATAACGCTTGACCAATTAGAAAATTCTATTTTCTTTTTCGCTCATCTTGCTCAATGGGCTTTCTTTGTGCATCAAACTTTCTGTATGCCAGATCGCTGTTTGGATGATTTGGCGGTCTATAAAAGACACATAACGGATAGGCATTCATTTATACATGTATATAGATTAAATATAGTTTTCTGATTATATTTTTTGTTTCTCTTGTAACTCCTGTAATGTTTTATTTTCAAAGTTTTAATTTTTTTATTCACATAAATTTGTATTTTATTTAATTATAAGCTGTTCTAATTTTTAATAATGGAATTGTCATTAACTTTAATTTTTTGCTAGTTCAAAATTTCAAGAGGGAAGCTGAATTTGATTATCAAAGGTTTCAAACCTTAAATGTTTTAGTTGAAAACACTACATGTAAAATACTTAAATTTAGCATAAACCTACAGGGTGAAATTGGGAAAATTTTTCTTCATTTTAGAAACAGAATTTGTTTTTCTCCTCATTTTAAAATTTTTCTTCATTTTAGAAACTCGAACCTTAAATTATATTAGCTGAAAATGTTACATACAATGCTTACGTTTTTTATAAACCTACTTCGTGAGATTATGAAAATTTTTCTTCCTTTTAGAAATGAACTCTGTAGTACTTACTATATTTTGAAAAATCCTCCAAAAGACATGCTTCACATTAGTAATACATCAACAGTTTTTTAATTGTTTAAAATTTTCAATTTTTAAGAAAGTGGCCACTATTAAAACTTCCATTAACTAACTAATAGCCGTTATTATTTGACTAGCCAGACACAAAATTTCTTAATTTTGCCCTTTGGATCACACATTAAAGAACTCATAACAATGCAATCAACCAAGCAATAAAGAAATGTTAATTTTGCAATCTCCATCTTCCAGTACCCACATGAAAATTTTTTATTCTTCTTAATCCGTTATTTTTTCCATTAAAGAAAACCCTCAAAACTGTGTAAAATTCATGCTTGAAGAATGACAAACAAAAAAGAAAATGCATATATGAAGAGATTTTAAGAATACTGTATGTCATGGGTTTTCCACTTTTTAAAGCCACAAAATTTTACTAAAATAGGGTGACACAATTTATATATCAGTAATATATTCGGACCTAGTTGATCGTGAAATATTATAAATAATGAGATAAATATAAATAATTCTGCATCAATTTACCCCACTCGAAGACTATTTTTGTTATATATACAATTATTCTTTCATTTTCTCTCATCATATTTTTTTAGCATATAAGAACTTTAAGGAAACAATTTAAATTACATTAAAAAAATTAAGAATAAGAGAAGTTTAATTTATTCATGAGTATTTCAAAAAATATAACAACATGTGATAAATTTTTAAAACATACTAAAAAGCTAAGAATTTAAAGTTATTAATTTTATATATATATATATATGGCAACCCTCCATTATATTCAGAGTTATGCAGAAAAATGTTTATAGCTTATACACAAGGTTTGTGTTTGTCTAATTTCATTTATTCGCTTCTTCTTTAAATTTCTCCATNTATAATAACATGATTTTTACCTCTCATTATATCTAAATCTTAATTCTTTATATTTTGTAAGTTTGAGTTATATATATATATAGCATATATATATATAATTTAAATGAAATAAAATACGAAGTTTGTCCAAAAAGTTATGTCAGTAATTTTTCTGGGAAACTTGTTTCCGCATTTGAAAACTTCTATAATAATACATCATTTAGTTACAGTTGACAAAGCCAAAAAATATGAATGATTTTAAAATATTGTAATCAGTTGTTCTGATCTAAATTTTTAATTGACTTATTACTTATCTATGTTTAAGCAGTAATTGATTGGACTAATGATTATGTTAAAAAATAAGCTAAATGAGAGTTATTTTGTAAAAAAAATTATTATTTTGTTTGTTTTACTTTGATTTTTTTTAAATTCAAGTAAGTTGGATTTAAAAAAATTAAAAACGAAGGAGATATAGAGGTGGGTATAATGTGATAAAATTTGTTCTTACTAATATTGATACCTACTGAAAAAAAAGATGAAAATAAACTTGATTTTTGAAATTGTAGGGCGGAACTCATTAGTCGGAATGTGATGGGCAAAGTACCGTACATTTTCTTCATAAGAGATGTGACAAATGCTAGAATTGCAGAGTTTGAGAATGCATTGAGGGATGCTGATTTGGGGCCTGAGAATGAACGGTCAATCATACCTGATGATGCATTCACGAAAGATGTCTTAGTCTTCAGAGTCAACAAGGTAATGCAATACAACATTGTTTTCATGGAATAATGTATTCCTTTGTTAAATTCAGAATAAATTTTTTTTTTAAAAAATAGATTAATTTCTACAGACAAAAATCATGCAATTTAAATGTAAAGTAATAAATTATTATCAAGTAAGTAATTTAAAATGAAATGTTAATTGTAATTTTAAATATTGTAGTAAAGTTCAAAATTATTGAATGAAATCTGTCAGAATAATATTTTTACTTACATATAATATGATCTTTCTTTTAAATTTTCATGCAATATAATTAGCTATTTAAACATAGCAATGTAAAATTAAAACTGTCTGGTAAAATGAGTTATTGTTCACTTTATGAAAATATCTTGGTTATTTTCATAAAGGGAATAATAATTCTATTTAACATTTATTAGTTTGCAGTTTATTGAATAAATAAAAAAAATGACCAAAGAAAATAACTGTAAAAGATATTTTTTCAACAGAAAATATTTCATCTAAAATCTGTAAGATGATTACATATGATTATCTTACAGATGATTACATCTGTAAGATGATTACATATACTCTTGTATCGATTAAAAGTTCAAAAAGAAAAAAAAAATCAATCAAATACTTCAGATAATATTTAAAACTTTCAAAAAATATTTAATTCAACAAATTTGTACAATAATATTAATTTTTTAACTCTTTTGACTTCTTAATTTATTTCTGGTTTTTGAGAATATTTAACCATGCACAAAAGATAAATTAAGCTCAACAGGGCAGAAAGGTAAATTTTACTTATTGATAGTTAGAAGGAACTCAATTTGCCTTTCATTAACTCTTGTTGTTTCCCCCCCTTTTTTTTGTACTCAATTAACTCTAGTATTGAACTGAATCAATTCAATGCTAGATAAACTGTTTACTTAACCAGTATTAAAAAGAAGGTATCTTTTGCGTTGTTTCTTAAGGATGAGCAGTGGTAAACATTTACAAAAAAAAAAATTAATATAATTATATGAAAGTTAGTTTTACAAGCATACACACAAGTACGCATGCTGCAAATTGTCACAAGTTTTATAATTTTTACCACCATGTAACAAGCTTTCCTCTATATTCTTTTGCAAATTCTCCCCTATTTTTTCAGCGTTGCACCAGGCGACTAAAATGCGACTATTTTCGGCCTAAGGCGACTATAGCAACTTTTTTGGCCTAAAAAAGCAACTATTTTCAGGAAAAGGGGACGATTTGGAGACTTTTCTGAACTCTTAGCAATTTTTTTTTAGCGTAAATTGGGTTGACAACCTGCGGCCCTGACACAACAAATTTTTTTTTTCTTTAAGAAAAAAAAAAAGTTACAATTTTGACTTTCAAATTTGAGTTATCATTTTTTAATGCTCCCAATTTATACAGATTCCATTGTAAGCCTATTTTGTTTCTCGATCACTTTTCAACGGTTTGTGCTACGAAATTCTGCATGATTTAAAAAAAGCTCAATTTTTAATCCGATATTATCGTGCGTAAATTTCGAATTTGATTTAAGTAATCACCTTTCAATTGAACTATTTTCATGCTTTAGGCTACTATAAGCAACTAGTTGATTTTTTTTCTGTGGCGCCCTTGCATCNTGCGTTGTTTCTTAAGGATGAGCAGTGGTAAACATTTACAAAAAAAAAAATTAATATAATTATATGAAAGTTAGTTTTACAAGCATACACACAAGTACGCATGCTGCAAATTGTCACAAGTTTTATAATTTTTACCACCATGTAACAAGCTTTCCTCTATATTCTTTTGCAAATTCTCTGCTATTTTTTCAGTGTTGCACCAGGCGACTAAAATGCGACTATTTTCGGCCTAAGGCGACTATGGCAACTTTTTTGGCCTAAAAAAGCAACTATTTTCAGGAAAAGGGGACGATTTGGAGACTTTTCTGAACTCTTAGCAATTTTTATTAGCATAAATTGGGTTGACAACCTGCGGCCCTGACACAACAAAATTTTTTTTTTCTTTAAGAAAAAAATAATTTAAATTTTGAATTGCAAATTTGAGTTATCATTTTTTAATGCTCCCAATTTATACAGATTCCATTGTAAGTCTATTTTGTTTCTCGATCACCTTTTCAACGGTTATTGCTACGAAATTCTGCATGATTTAAAAAGAGCTAAATTTTTAATACGATATTATCATGCGTAAATTTCGAATTTGATTTAGGTAATCACCCTTCAATTGAACTATTTTCATGCTTTAGGCTACTAGAAGCAACTATTTCGTTGATTTTTTTTTCTCTGGCGCCCCTGCATCATCTATTAATGGACTGTTTCTAGGGGTCTATCTTTGTTTTGGAAAACTCACTTGAATAAGTTTTAAAAATTGAATCAATTAAAAAAATTATTTCATTACAAAAAGAAAAATGAACGTAAGTTTTTTTATAATAGAGTTTTAAAATATATTATTTATTAAGTTTAACGTGATGTAATGCAACAATAGGCATTAAATATTTCCTAGCTTTTAAAATTTCTTAAACTTATTTTTTTCAATCATTCCTTATCCAATTATAATTAAACTAAATCAATTAGTTAATTTTTATTAAAATTTATAAAAAGCGAATATAAAATATTTGATTCTTTTCTTATCGATCAATGTAATGGCTAACTTTTTATATCAATACTAATGTAGACTGATTAATTCACTTTTGCGCCTAATCGAAAACAAAAGTCTATAACTCTAAACAGTTAATTTCTTACCACAAATATGTTTCAGTTACATGGTTATACTAATTCCCACAGTCTTGTTGACAATTCGCGATCGCCACAGTATTTTCAGTCCTAATATTTATTATGGGGGGTTGGCTTTATTTTTCCTGATGTTATCTTTAGATAAATCACCAACCTTGGATCTCTTCCCTATGCTCCTAACTGTCCGTTGAGAACTAATTCATTCACTTTAAATTTTTGGTGACTGGGGGTGCCTCTTTGGGCATCCCAGTCCCATCCGTTCCTAAATTTTCGTATCCGAAAATTTTCGATGGACGAGAATGTTTTATCTTGATCCCTTTAAGCTGATCCTTTTTTCTTTATTATTTTTATATTTTTGAATTATGGCCATTTTCAATAATTAATAAATCAATTTTTCTTCAGCAATTTTATTTATTTCTCAGACAATTATCCTTTTATTACATCCAAATTAAGATGTGTCTGTAATGGCCAAAAGTCAAATTATGCTACCTGTACAAATCCACTAATTAATTTAAACGATCACCGTCATGACAGCTGATGATACTGCTTATCATTTACAAGAGTGGCAGTCTTCATCAATAAAATACATTTCCTGCCTAAGAGACACCATTTTTAATGTTCTGTAATTTAATAAAATAAAGTTTAAATTCATTTGTTTTTATTTAGACTCTTTATTTTCGAAATTTTCTTGTATGACCTGGATTCAGATTTTTCTTAAATGTGTCTCATTCGATTTAAAGACTATGGGTGACAATAACCGTTTCTTAGATTCTAAATTACCTTCTAAACAAATGCTTTAAAAACAAATACAATATTTTAGCATTTTTCTGAAAGTAAGATATTTTTATTTATTTATATCAAGATTTTGTTCTCATATCTTTCTTAGCTTGCTGAATAAAATAAAATATTGAATCGAAAGCTGTATCACTTAGTTTATCCTTTCCAAATTTTTATGTCATTTTTCAAAAAAAGTGTAAATAAATGTTTTTTTAAAAAATATTTCTTGGTAATCCTTTAAGTTTTAAAATTAGATAAAGGAAAAATAAGTGTATATTATACGAAAAAATATAATTTTTACTTTCATTATTATCCTCAATTATTTGGATGCTTTCTCTCTGATTATAAATTCATGAACTTCTGATATTTTAAAGTTTTAATTTCAAAAATCTTTCAAAAAAAAAAAATCTCCACAGGTAAAATTATTAAATTAAAATTTTTACACTAGATGTGAAAATTTGAAAGGAGATTTATCCATAGATGACTTCCATATAGTAGAGTATTCATTCATTTAATGTACGTATCAACTAAAATTGTAAAATTACCAAAGTGCAATTGCTGTGAATAATGCCTGCACTTAGTTAACTAACTTTTTGTATTTCATTATTGTACTTTGTGATGAAATGCTGATAAAAAAAAATTTTTTTAAGCTGTATTTTGCAAAATAACATCAGAAATTGAAATTTCAAACTGACAGTGTACATAAAACAGAGAAACTTCAAAATTTTGCAAGGATATAAAAATTAAAGAAAAAAAAATCAGAACTATGGCTCTTTTTCCTCTTTAGAAAAAGAAATAAGATGAAAACAAAAGTTGAATCTAAAATGTATGCTGAAAAAATTATAAGCTTTTGCCATATTTGATAATTCTATGCCCAACTAAAAATATAAAAATGTACAGATAAAATGAACTATTACTACATTAAACTAAATGCCAAATGAAAAATTATTTCTTTTCATGCATTGTCAAAATTACATGAATTGGTTTAATAGTTAATGTTCAGAAAACAGGTTAAATGTTGTAGAATAATATTATGAATTATTTTTTCACAAATTGTAACTAAATGTTATAAGCTTTTCTGAATACATATCCTTCATAACATTGCAGTTTTATATATTAACTTATATAGAAAAAAAAGTGAGCTTACTTAAAAAAAAAGAAGAGAAAACATTGAAAAGCCTTGTTTATTTTACAACAAAAGGTACTATAAATTTATTATTTTACCATAAAAGGCTTAAAATAATTCCAGAAAAAAAGTAGTAAATTAACTTATATAGAAAAAAAGTCAATTTATGATGCTTGCCTGATTGTTTGATTTGTATTGAATTTTTTTATTATTTTTAGAAATCAAATACTGATGAAAATAAAGAATTAGAAGTCAAAAAAGTTGAACCTCCGAATATTTCTCATAGACCTTCTGACATGAAGTCTGATGTTTTTGGATTAAAACACAATGACATTATGAATAAAATATTTGCTTCAAAAGGGAGAATCAAATCACTCGAAAATTCTGCCGTCATATCTTCAGAATTCTTTCCTAGCGCAGAACTCTTTGATAAAATTCCTGGCACTACTCTAGAATCTTCTGGAATAGATCGATCAAAAGTACTGAAGCAGTTCCAAATTGAAAGGAAAATTGCAAAATATAAGAATAGAAGTATAAAAATCACGAGAGAGGATTCCTTGTTGGAAGATGATGTCCCCTCAGATCATATAGATTATCTTCAAGACGACCATCATTCTTTTCACTGATTTCTGTTTAAATTATGTCTTTTTCTTTTGGTACTTTACTGTCAATAAATCCATTTAAAGGTTTATGTTCATATTCTAGAAAAAAAAATGAGGTCCATTTGCTAAAATCAGAGACACCTAAAAAAGGCCCATTCATAAAAATCCAAACCTCAAAAATGTCCTTTTAGGGGTCATTCAAAAATTAAGCAAGATTCATATAGTAATAATGGCTAGAGTAACATTGAGTGTCATTCGAATCGATGCAAATGCATAAAATTAATGTTAAAACATTGAATAAAAGCAAAAAAAAGTACGATTCAAAAATTTTATTAAACATAAGTTTAAAGAAATTCATTGTAATGTGAAAAATTTATTAATACTATCATAAAAATTGATTTATTATTGCTAAAGCTCAGAAACTTACGTGAGCACAAGGGAGGGATTTGCAGTTTGCTTAAGGAGGGAAGGAAGTTAAAAAACAATAAAATAATTGCTTACATTAACACTTCAAAGATGCATATTTGAACGGCCCCTTACAATGAAAAATGGACCCTTCACAAAAATTTCTAAAACGGACACTTCACAAAACCTTAAGAGGACGCCATAACACGGGAGAAAATTTTCATCGCAAATTTTCTTTCATTACTAATTTAAAGTGTAGAAAAAGTGAGTTAAGACAAGCCTAGAGTAAGCCATGAAGTTACAAATACTGAAAAGAAAATTTAAAAAATATACAAATGAAAATAAGTTATGAGCTGATAACTTAGGACTACGCTATGGAGAATTTCTCTTCTAATAATTTGTTTACATTTTAATGTTTTGAAGCATTTTTTTCAGCAATTGAAACTTCATGACTTTAGGTTTGCTTGAACTTACTTTTTCTTTCTTTTAAATTAGTAGTGAAGGAGAAAGAGAATTTGCAACAAAAATTTTCCTCTGCAGCATGGCGTCCTAAACTAAAAACTATTTCCCCCCCTGGAAAATTCAATTTTTTAAATTATAGTTCTCAAAACCTCCAATCAGAAAATAAAGTCTCTTTGTGGAAACGAAAGTGAGGTTCTGAGAAAAGGGCAACAGGTTATGGCATCCTGCCGAAAGATTATATCCAATGGAGCATCAGTTCCCCAATGGTGTTCTGCACAAATCGATCTAGTATTCTGTGAGTTGGTACCAAAGTTGAGTTTTGAAACCTCTTACTATATTTAGATATAACGTATAATTTATTTAATCTTTCGGTTGCCTTTATGAAATTATTTCAAGTAAAGTGCCAATGAAATGGAAATGATATTTTTAAAAAGAAAGTCTAATATTTCTAATAACATATTGTGAAAAGAATAAGCATTAATAAAATATTGCGTTACTAATTCCTATTGCGATTTTCAAATCAAAATAAAATAATTCTTTAATCCCAAATTTTTTTATTTGGATTTGTCTTCGTATTCTGTCTGTGTTCGATTTTTAAAATAAATTTATTTTAGGAATTTGAAGATTGATACCAAAAAACCCAGAATACAATAAAAAGATGCTTTAGTTATGTAATAAAGATAATTATATTTTAAGTATCTGTTAATTGCATTAAATAATTTTATAATATTAAACAAAGTCCACGCTTCTTATCTGTTGAGCCTGATTTGTATTTGTCTTAGTATTCTGTATGTTTGATTTATATAATAATTTTATTTTAAGAATTAGTGTGAGTTTGCATCCTAAACTGTCCTTTAAATTTTACCATACACTTTTCTTTACTGACACTTGAGCCTTTTTGCTGTAATAAATTTTATGGTTTGTAAACACCAATAGTAGTGGAAAAGTAATATTCTTGATATTTCACAATACCAAATACAAAGGAAAGTAGTAATTCACTAAGCCTCTTTTGGTGTTAAAGTCAGTGGTCGGAAGTAGCGCACTAGAATCAGTCTAGCGTGCTACTTTTAATGTAGCGTAGTGCAATAAAAAAAACAGTAGTTTGTAGCGATTCCTGGCAACTACTTTTAACGTTAGTTTGATAAGGAAACACTACTCTAATACAACTAATTTTTCAAACTTGATTGGTACAAGTTTTCGCAGGTCCATCAATGGATGCAATGAAAATGACTCTGTAGCTGCAGCTGAACGTTAACAGAAATGAGAAGTTTCGAGTGACTGTATATATAAACATGTATAACTAATGTTTAAACTAGTCATTACGAAAAATAGATAATTTATCACTTTGATGAAACACTTTCAAATGCGAATGCACACTCGTGAAACATTAATGCTATTTAAAAAAAAAAAAGGGGGAACATATTTTCGATGTAGTTAATTTCTTAGAATTAAAAGAGCATTAAACAATTAAAAAATTGCAAGTGTTTGATAATTTTGCATTTCTTAAATAAAATATTCGCTGTTGAAAGAGACATGAAAAATTAAAGGTTAAATGAACAAATTTGAAAAATTTTTTTGGAATAACAAACTGTCTCATGTAAACAGGAATAAATATTTGTATAAAATTTTTTTCTTGTTTAATATAAGATAATTTTTTTTATTCAAAACCATTTTGAACATAGGCGTAAATTAATTTCTCCAGCAAAGTTTGGTTCCTTAAAGTAGTCACTACATTTCGAAAGTAGTTTGCAGGTTACTACATACAAAATAATGTAGTTGTAGTTAACTATCCGATAACTGGATAAGATATGGCAAAACTTTTTATAGTGTAGAAAATTAATCACGATTGGTAAGATTAGGAGTGCACAACCTGCGGCCAGCAAAAGCTTCTGTATACCTTAAAAAAAAAAAAAAAAAAAATGCCGAAATTTTGAATCCTACATTTGAGTCATCACTTTTTGACGAGCTCAATTTACATAAATTCTACAGTAAGTGCATGTTTCACGATCATTTTTTCCGCCATTATTGCTTCAGAATTATGCATGGCTTATAAAAAACTCGACGCCCGGTGGCTGAACGGTATGCGCTGCGCGCTGTTGTGCCACAGGTCCCTGGTTCGATCCTCGGGCCGGGCAAGGTTGACTCAGCCTTTCACCCTTTCAGTGGGTCGATAAATGAGTACCAAGCATGCTTGGGAACTAAATACTGAGGGTTCCGCGTTCGGCTGACCACCGGACCGAAACATCTGCTCTTGCACCTCAGAGCCCATGGTCAAGAAAACTGAGATGGGCACAGTAGGCCTTGGCCCTCTATGGGCTGTTGCGCCGCTGAGTTTAGTTATAAAAAACTCAATACTTTTAATAGGATATTAATGTACACGGTTTTCAAATTTGAGTAATCACTTTCTGTCTTGCATTATTTTTGCAGATTTCGTCGCAAATCCAAGTGATTTTTCCTACAAATTTTGTTCAATTAAAGTATTTCATTTGAATTTGTATTAATTATCAAAATATGTATTTATTGATTTATTCTTTATAGTAAAGATTATGCTTTTTTTAAAAGTTAGAATTTTCTTTTAAAAGAACTTTCGTACTAAATGATATGACAAAAAAACCCCATTTTTTTTTTTATTCAATTTTTATAAATATATCAATTCATTATATCTTTAAAAAAGGTATTAGTTTTTTCATTTTTGTATAAATTGTAATAATTAAAATTGTTTTTAAAAATTAAAAGCATTTAATTTGCCGAAAATATTAGTGATAAAAAAAATTAGTGCTTATGTTTGGAGAAATTTTTGTTATTTGCCATAAACAAGTCTAAATACCTGCACGCCCCGTTTATTTATCAACTAGCTGTGCAAGTGGCCCTTCACTCAGAAAGGTTGTGCACCCCTGGGTAAGATCATAAATAATTGAATCGATGAATGAGTTGAAATAGTGTTTATCAGTTCTTAAATATCATTTTGACTTTTTTATTATCTCTGAAACTAGTTGCTGAATGAAAATAACTTATTTAAAAATAATTTTGTGCAAGAAATCAAGCAAAGGTATCTGTTTCATAGCAGGAAAAATATTAAATTCCAAGCACAAAATTGTTTTTCAGTTTAGCTTTGTTTTTTTCTTTTGTAGACACTCTTACACATTGATTAGATTTATAACCTAAAATTATTTTAACTAAATTGTAAAGATTTTTTTTAACAAAAACTTTATTTAGTTAGTAATTTTTACCACTAATGCTAACACAGGCTATATCCATGATTCTATAGGAAAAATCAAAAATTGAATTAAAAAACTCACGATTTATCACAAAACAGTTGTTGCTAACAGATGTTCTGAAGTCCAATTAAGAAATATATAAATATAATAATTAGTATTGTAATTTCAGAAATAAAAAACTATAATAAGAATTAGCAATATATATATATATATGTTACCGTGAATGATAAAAATCGAGAGAATGTCAACAATCACATAGTCACTTTAGTAAATGTCCAAAATATTTATTATATCCGATTTGATATTAATTTATTCCTTCATATTAAATTTATTCGATATTTTAATATCTGCTAAAGATAGATTACGAGAAACATTAGTGTTCTGAGTACCAATTAAATGCATATTGGGCAGTGGCACTTGACCTTACAAAAATATTGATGTAGGGCATACCAGGCAGTGGCATTAAACTAAACCTAGTACATATAAATTTTAGGACATTTTCTAAAGCGAATATGTGATTGTCAACATTCACCGGTGGAAATCAACAATCACCAATTTCAGTTATTCACAGTAACATATATGTATTTAAAAAAAAGCTATAAAACCTTGTTTCTTGATCTTTTATTTATGTTTTTTCCCTTACAATTGTGACACTGTATTATCTCATAATCAATATTCAAATGCAGCAGCAATATATTAAACTTAACTTCAATACCATATATATTGAAGGTGTGTTTACCTAAATTTTGCAATCAACTTATTCACTTAAGAGTTTGATTCTTTTTACTGCTGGCTCGCAGGAAGAGTTACTGTTAAAAAATAAAACACCTTCAGGTAACTCGTAGGTCACTCTCATCATATATTTATTAGGAGCCACAACTCTGACAACAGAAATTTCAGATTTCTCAACAACATCACCTTTCAGATATTCTTCTAAGACATTCAAATCATTCTCATCTTTTTTCCTGAAGTAGTAGCAATGAACAATCGTTCTACGTTTAGAAAACTTAACCGATTCTCTAGCGAGTAGGTTGTCGAAGAATGGCAAAAATGTCAACGCAATTGCAGGCAAGTTCATCAAAATGTGAAATTTCCCAACATTTTCCTCTTCACTGTTAAAATAATTGATGATACTATCTCTTACTATTGTTTTAATAAAATCCTTACCATCCATATTATACGTTTGAATGCGTTTGTCTACTTTGTTTAACTTTGCATTATGGCAAAGCCAATAATAGGAATCAGGATTCAAGTCATTGGCACAAACTTTGCAACCTTTTTTCGCCAGAGGGATTGCAAAAGGTCCAACACCAGCGAAAACATCGCATACTGTATCTTTGGAATCAATACTGTTTGCCACACGGTCGTGTTCACTACTTAATCTAGGATTCCAAAAAACTTTTTCATAATCAAATGCATATTTACAGTTGTTTTCTTTTACCATAACTTGATAGTTATGCTCGCCAGCCAAGTGTTCCATTTTAAAATTTCTAAACGTGTTTTCTATTACATCAGATTTATTAACGACAGTTTTAATATTTGGCTGATATTTATCGAGTAGAACTTGTCCTATAAGGAACTTGTAGTTTAACAATTCAACTTTTAAGTTCAGATGAATAATGTGCCCCACTATGCTAAAACTGGAGATGTTGCCCACACTGTCCTCCGGCAAAACAGCTCTGAATATATCATCAGAAGTCCAGTTCTCATATTTAAGCTGGACATCAGTCCACTCGATATCATCAGTGGTCAAACCAACGTCAACTTTGTTGCATAAAGTTGCTTCATATTTCTCCGGATGAAGAAGAATTTTTCTCTTGTTGAACTCCTCATTACAAACAGGTTTCAGTTTTGGCATTTTCAGGAGGCAAGGTTTCAAAATTTTTAGAACATCAGAAATTTTGTCCACTGAAATCAGAAAGCAGGGTATTTGGGCAACAGTCTGAAATTTATCACGATCTAGTGTGGTCATACCACGGACTTCAGCAGGAGGTTTGGGCAAACTGTTTTTTATCATGTTTGTAAAGAATCTGATCACTGTTAGGCAGGAATGAAATTTCTTCTGAATAAATATGCTATAAATCACCTGGAAAAAAATAAAACAAAAAAAATAAAACAAAAAAAATAAAACCAATAAATAGGAATAAATTAATAAAAAAAAGGTACCTGCAAGTATGATTTTTTTTATATCTACAGCACGGATGAATTAAATATTGGCTGCATATAAACTAGACTGAAAACATTGCCAAACATTTTTTAGAAGCTGACTTGGAAAATTGCTTTCAAGGTTGCTGCAGTAAAAAAAAAAGAACAAAATAGTTGCTTTTAGTAGCCTAAAGCATGAAAATAGTTGCCGAAAACTATGAAAATAGTTGCCTAAATAAGAACAAAAATATGACTAAAATTTCATCAAATGACTTAATTGTCATACATCATGAGCCATTTAGTCAAGTTGGTGACAAATATGATACTTTTTATTTAAACGTTAGTGTCCTTATCATCATCATAGTTGGCCAGGCAGCCCAAATTGAGTCAATGCCTTCCTCTGAGGATTTCTTCATGACGACTTCCGATTTATCTTTGATTCTCAATTCTTTTTATTAATTGCAAGAAAATCAGACTCCACTGAGTCAGCCCATCTCAATAGCACTAAATTTTTATATCAAAAAATTAGTATAAAAATTAAATACTTTTAATAAACTAGAATTAATTGAAAAAAATACTTTTTCATTAAAAAAAACACATTTTTCTAAAAAAATTTCGCTTTCATCAACAATTGATTTAGAAAATATATATATTGTTAAAATGATTATTCAAATTCTAAATTCATGCATCGTAATATTGCATTAAAAATTGAGTTTTTTAAAGTCATATAGAATTTAGTAACAATAATTAAACTAACATATTTTAAAAGTTGATCATAAACAGATAGTCTGTAAACATGAAATTTTTCTATCAGTTTCTAAAACTGAAACAAAAATGCTTGCCCCAAACCTAGTATAAATTTCTCTAAAAATATTAAATAAATTATTGCAACTTAAAAGGAGAAAATAAAACCCAAATAAAATATACCTATTTTACCCCAAGAACCCAATTTTTCCCGACCCTATTTATTTACAAATCTATTAACAGTCTAATTAAAATAATCTTTGAAGAAATATATTATATGGTAATTATAAAAATAAACAAATTTTACAATTTAATTAGCAATACCATTTCAAAGTGTGAACAGAATGGGACATGTTTTCTGGAGATAGCATAATATGTGGTGCAGAAAATGTGCCAGCAATTGTTTTTGGAAAACTGAACTATTATGCAGCATAAAAGGGAGAATTAATTAAGCGTTGAATAATTTAAAAGCAAATTGATACATTTATAACTATTACAGATTAGAACACACGTGAAATATCACATGTTTATAAGTTACAATTTTTTTGTGTGATAAGGGGATATTTCTGTATAGCGATCTGACGCACCAACTACAAGCGCTAAGGTGCCAAATAGATGTTGAACTTACAAATTTAAAAAAAATATAAATAATGCACAGATGTTTGCACGGAGATGGCTATACCTTCCAAATTGGTTCCTTTCGTTGATTGTTTTGTTTTTTTTTGTTATTATTTTTAAGTTTCTTGCGAGTCACTGCCAAGACTTCGCATTTATTCTGCCACAGATCACGATATGGAAATTTCCCCTGCTATAAAAGTGAGAAGCATGGAAATTTTCTGAAAGAGAGATGATTACGGCAATTACCTTTCTTTATTACAGACAAGTAATTTTTAAGCTTACACTGTGTGGTAGATTGCACCATACAGTAAGGTTTACATTAAAATAAATCCTCACATAATGGCATGAAAATTATTCATTTAAACTTCTAAGAAACACGCTTCTACTGAAAAAAAAAGGAAGTGTGAGAAAAAGTATGAAGTATAAAATATGTCATTATTTAAATATTTTTAATTCGTTTGTTTGAGTTAAGCCACCCATGTATTAAACGTTTAAACGCCACTCTAATCTTAAGAGTAGTCTTTTTAAAAAATTTAATAGTCTATTCTAAATATCAGAAAATAACTTAAGCATTATTTCTACAAAATTTTAAATATCAGTGAAATCAGACTTTTTTTAAAATCAACTCACCTGATCAATTTTATTAAAATCATAGAAAAATAAATAATCAATAGGTGCGTTTGCAATTAAAAAAAGAAATGTTCTACCTATATGCTAATTATGAATAAAATTAATAATACCAAGAGAAATATTCTTATCGTTATCGAAACACTCACATTCATTTCAGTCTTTTGATATTACTTTATAGGCTAGCATAATTTTGTTTCGACAGTCAGAATAACATTAAAAATTTTACTTGTCTTTATAACATTAAAATGATGGATCCCAAACTTATTTAAAAGATACGTAGTAAAAATATAGATTTTAATATTTAACAGAACACAGCATGCTGCTGTTGCTGATGGTGGCACTTTCAAGCGTTTTTGGAGGCTTTGCAATATTTTGCTTATAGCTCGCTTATCAAGTACGTAGAGTAGTTGTTCTAGTTCATTTTACGTCACACTAGAGCTGCACAATGGGTATTGGCGACGGTCTGGGAAACATCCCTGAGGATGATCAGAAGACATGCCATCGCAATTTTGATCCTCTGAAGCACGGGCTACCAAAGCAGGGGATGGCTCCCCTGCTTTGGTAGCCCGTTGACCTGCGAGTGAAATCGAGCACTTAACGGTGGTAAAGTTTAACAAGGACCCATACCGCACACCTTCGGTCCCTAAGCAGGCAGATCCAAGTGGTCACCCACCCGCACACTGACTGCAGCCAGACTTGCTTGACTTCGGCAATATAAATTATTCGTCACTATTATAAATTAGCAGTAATGTTAATAGAATTTTTTATATGTTAAGCTTTTTGCTGCCATAATATTTTATTTTCTCTGCTGCATTTTATTTGCTGCCATAATACTTTATAATTAATATTTTATTATAATATTTTATTTTATTTTCATAAATGAAATTTTAATTCGATAGTAGAAGCTAATGTTAAGAAATTTTCAGCTTCTTTATAGCGCATCTGATACCAGTTAATACTTTTTTCCAGGTGCATTAATAAATCGCAACGCTCGAGTACGCCCTCAACCGGAGCCTGAAAATATCGGACATTAATTTCACCATAACCATTGGCAATGACGGACGCAATTTTCTTAGCAGCAAATAAGAAACAAAATTTCCCAAGGAAAAGGTAGAAGAACTTGAAAAGACTAACCAGAACATGCCAAACATTGAAGCAGAACACGCCAAGCATTTGNTAACGAGGACCAATACCGCACACCCTCGGTCCCGACGCACACTGATCCAAGTGGTGACCCACCCGCACACTGACCGTAGCCAGTGATGCTTCACTTCGGTGATCTGCTGGGAACCGTGTCTTAACGATCAGTCCACTGCGTGACAAATGAAATTTTAATTCGATAGTAGAAGCTAATGTTAAGAAATTTTCAGCTTCTTTATAACGCATCTGATACCAGTTAATACTTTTTTCCAGGTGCATTAATAATTCGTGATCGCAACGCTCGAGTACGCCCTCTAGCGGGAGCCTGAAAATATCGGGCATTAATTTCACCATAACCATTGGCAATTACGGACGCAATTTTCTTAGCAGCAAATAAGAAGCAAAATTTCCTAAGGAAAAGGTAGAAGAACTTGAAAAGACTAACCAGAACATGCCAAACATTGAAGCAGAACACGCCAAGCATTTGAAGAACAATTTCTCAATAATATTTACCTTTCTATTACCAACAACATAACTTCCGATTTCATCCTCACTTGCTGTTATAGATGTGTGTATTACGGTAAAATAATTTTTTCTGTCTTCAATTCATTACAAATTAAAGTGAAGTCAACATTGCTTTCGTCATTCCAATGAATAAATGTGAATTCAGAACTTACACAGAACTGTATAATAGTTATAGAATATTCTTCTTCTTTATAGAATAGTATATATGTCTGTATCTATATAATTCGGAAAACAACAATATAGATATGTACTTGAAATAGTTTCATTTGTGCTGATTATTAATAAATTTTTATCGTTTTCTTGGTAAGTATTTTTTTGTTNCGCCAAACACCGAGATACGGAATTCAGCTATTCTGTTTTTAAGCTACATATTCAAATTCATATCGAGATCGTACAACTATAAAGTTTTGATGCGTGGTATGTTATATAAAAGTAGCGAAGGGATAATCTATGCATATATTATTTGAAAATAAAATTTTCAAACGGAGAACATATCATTTGGAATTCTCCGGATTTATAAAGAAGGTGAGTGTTATGATTTTTATAATAAAAAATTTGCTTGTAATAAATTTTTTTTTCTTATTTGATGATCGTTCTCTACAGAATGGTTTTTTACGCCTGATTAAGAACTATAAGAATAAAAAAAAAAGAAGAAACAATATGAAAGTTTTCATTTCAATATGAGGAATTTTTACAATCGTTTTTTTATCCTACGAATTCTTTATTTTACGTTTTGTAGCTTATAATTTTTTGATAAAAATTTTTGTTAAAATACTTTTTTTGAAAAATTAAATGGTATGACATTATGTGTTTATGTATACCTCTTGCATATTATATGTTTGAAGAAATATGATTCTGAAAAGTATGTAATAAAGTATTGACAAGTATTTTTATCAAAAAATTTTAAGTTTTAATAAAAATCATTGTTTAGAAACTGAAAAACGTAAAATAAAGAATGCTTACGATACAAAATAAAAAAACCAATTCTAAAAATTCCTTATATTAAAATAAACAACTTTCATTTTTCTTTTTTGATTCATAATCGGACGTAGAAAACCATTCTATAGANAATGGTATGACATTATGTGTTTATGTATACTTTTTGCATATTCTAATATTTGAAGAAATATGATTCTGAAAAGTATGTAATAAAAATTCAGTATTTATGTATTAACGCCACCGCCGCTACAGATTTGGCGGTTTTTAAGTACCGCTGATCTACACCTAGAATTTTTGAGACAAGTCATAAAATAAAACACTTTATTTAAAATCAAAGTAGTCAATCGGATTTCGGTGGAAAATGGGCCGATATAGAGTTTAACATAGATTCAAAACAATCTCTATTTTCTTTCACCTGGATGCTGCCGCCATATGAAAAAAATGTCACCGCCAGTCCGATTATGTATGAACTCTAATAAATAAAATTCCAAATGAAAGATCATTTCCAAAACGTATGTTTACTAAGATAAAGTTTCATGTCATGGGAATTGGTACATTTTCGTTTTTTCAATAAAATATTTCGCTCCTGAAAAAATAAAATTGCATCTTGTTTTGTTTTTTGAAATAATTTCTCAATAATTTTTACCTTTCTATTACCAACAGCATAACTTCCGATCACATGCTGTTACAGATGTGTGTATTATGGTAAAATAATTTTTTCTGTCTTCATTTCATTACAAATTAATGTTAAGTCAACATTGCTTTCGTCATTTCAACGAATAAATGTGAATACAGAATGTAAAGATCTGTAATAGAATATTCTTCTCCTTTATAGAATAGTATATATTTCTGTATCTATATAATTCGGAAAACAACAATAAAGAATCCTCCGAATTACTTGAAATAGTATCATTTGTACTGATTACTAATAAATTTTTTTCGTTTTCTTGGTAAGCATTTTTTAGTTTTGAAAGAACAATTTCAACTGGAATTCAGCTATTCTGTTTTCAAGCTACGTATTGAAATTCATTATGAGATAATACAATTCTAAAATTTTGATGTGTGCGTATGTTATCTAAATGTAATGAAGGAATAATGTAGATATTATTCGAAAATAAAATTTTCAAACGAAGAACATTGCATTTGGAATTCTCCGGATTTATAAAGAATGTGAGTGTTATGATTTTTATAATAAAAAATTTGCTTGTAAATAATTTTTTTTATTATTTGATGATAGTTCTCTACAGAATGGTTTTACGTCTGATTAAGAACTATAAGAAGGAAAAAAAGAAACAATATGACAGTTTTTTTATTTCAATATGAGGAATTTTCAAAATCGTTTTTTTTTTAATCCTAAGAATTCTTTGTTTCAGGTTTTTTAGTTTATGATTTTTAGATATAAATCGTCGTCAAAATACTTTTTTTGAAAAATTAAACGGTATAACATTGTGTCTTTATGTATACTTCTTGAATATTCTAGTATTTGAAGTTATATGATTCAGAAAAGTATGGAATAAAAATTCGGTATTTATGTCTTAACGCCACCGCAGCTACAGATTTGGCAGTTTTTAAGTGCCGCCAATCTACACCTAAAGTTTTTGCGACAAATCATAAAATAAAACACTTTATTTAAAATCAATGTAGTCAATGGGATTTCGATGAGAAATGGGCCGATATAAAATTTATCACAGATTCAAAACAAACCCTATTTTCGTCCACCTGATGATGTCGCCATATTAACTCTAATAAATAGGATTCCAAATGAGATAACATTTCCAAAACGTACGTTTACCAAAATAAAGTTTCATGTCATGGGAATTGGTACATTTTCGTTTTTTTTTTTTGGTAAAATATTTTGTTCCTGAAAAAATAAAATTGGATCTTGTTTTGTTTTTGGCAAATCCCAAAGAGGAATTTTCGTAGCACTAAAAAATGGCAACAAAAAAGATTTTTTTGTTTGTTTCATAAGCATTCTTTATTTTACGTTTTTTAGTTTCTAAATAATGATTTTTATTGCAACTTGAAATTTTTTGATAAATATTGTCGTCAAAAAACTTTCTTTGCAAAATTAAATTTCATAAAATTATGAGGGTTATGTATACTTTTTGTTTATTTTAATTTTTGAAGTAATATGATTCTTAAAACTATGGAATGTAAAGCTTAAATAGGCCTTTCATGTTATATCATTAAATTTAGTAAAATTATTTCTCATTCATTAGGTTTTAACTCTTATAAGAAGATACATTTTTTTCCTGTTTATTTAAAAATATTTTTCAAATGTGTTTTGGATGTTCCTTTTCTTAAAGATCCCTCTTAAAGATTTTCTTAAAGATTGGATATCCTTTCTTATGCATCGGAAAACAAGATGGTATCTTTTTTTTTCAAAGAAGGAACATCCAAAACACATCTGAAAAATATTTGTAAATAAACAGAAAAAAATATGTATCTTGTTATTAGAGTAAAAACCTGAGAAATAGTTTTACTAAATTTAATGATATAACCTGAAAGGCCTATTTAAACTTTACATTCCATAGTTTTAAGAATCATATTACTTCAAACATTAAAATAAGCAAAAAGTATACGTAAGCTTCATAATTTTATATAATTTAATTTTGTAAAAAAAAGTTTTTTGACAAGTATTTTTATCAAAAAAATTTAAGTTTTAATAAAAATCATTGTTTAGAAACTGAAAAACATAAAATAAAGAATGCTTACGATACAAAACAAAAAAACCAATTCTAAAAATTCCTTATATT